TGCGAACTCTTATAAGCTTTGTAAAGCTTAGTAAAGCAAGAAATCTACTAAAACGATGAATAAGAAAAGGTTTTGAAGTTGTTAAAGGAGAAGACAGTGTAGAACATCAACGTTGATGTTCTAAGTCTAAATGATTGGGGGCCTACTAGAGTTAGACGAGAATGGTGACGAACCAACTAACGCTGAAGTCACACCTCGCAACCAGCCCTTACCTGGATTAAACCATCGACGTATCAAAGGATCATGGACGCTTTGGAGACTGTACAACACAAAGGACGTCATTACAAGAATATATTAGTTAAAGTACAACCACGAAAGTACAGAATTGAAAGAATAACCACTGCCGCGTGGGCCAATCCATGGAGTACGATTGGTTTGTGCGCGTTGACTATCCTTGACCTTGACAAGGGTCAGTGATTTGTTCGATATTCAGTGACCCTACAACAGGCAGATTGAAAATAAAGCAAACGATGTCAGTAACTTTTGAATAGTTGTGGATGAATAAGAGCATGGAACTGTATCCAATCTCTTTAATATAGGTAGCAAACAAGCGTCTTCCTATGAGATTGAATAGGAGATGGAAAATGAACAATTTTGTGATGGAAAGAGTAGGTAATGAAAAGTGATTTTAGAGTACCCTAGCTTTACCTGAAATCGGTTAATTGGTTCCAAATTACGTGTACCAAATATAATGTAATAGATCAGGCCTTAAGTATTCTGTTTCTCAGAAACGATTATGCAGCAAAAACACTTTTTGTTTGGCTCGTCAGAAGTCTATTGCATCGGTGACCTAAGTTACTGCCGCCGTTTCAAGGTCCAAGCAGGATATGGGAAAAATAATATGGCATATATAAAGAGGAATTCAACGACATCAATCTGGAGTAAAAAGCTGTAATTGAGGAGGATATTCAAGTTGATAAGTAAACTGAATATTGGTGTGGATTTCTTCATGGGCCTCTCCTGTGGGAATAAAGCGGGAAATTTACCGTACAGCGGTGAAATGTCAATCTCGCATTTAAGTAAATTAAACAGTAGACTGGAAAGAAAATATTCGTTTGTGCGTAGAATATATATAATACGTAGGCACATCGAGAATGGATATTTGAGAAGACTCATGGAGGAAAACGCGGTAAGAGGTCCCTGTTAAAACACCCAGTATTAAGCTGTGATTGCGCTTGACTTTCCAGCGGTGCATCACAGTACGCCAGTGAATGACATCTCGCTGAGCGAACTGAGTAGCTCAGCTTGACTATCGAGGTCTTGTCAAGATTCAACAATATTGGTGGGCACGGCAAAAACGTTTTCACAAACGACAAGGCCATTGACAGATCGAGACAGGATGACCTTTAAGAGACATTTCTAATTACGGAATGACGGTCTACCGACGTGACTCCACGTCATCACTCTTTTGAACCTACTTTAACTTGAGTTTAGCTATAACTATGTCTGGACCGGATACACCAGAATCAGATAGTTTCGTGTACAAGCACTTTTACGTCGACGATTATCTTGCGTCCGTTGAGAGCATTGAAGTGTCACACGGTTTTCCAGCTAACAATAAAGGATCGTCGTTGCACGATAGACCACTATCAGACCGACTAGAGATTTGACGACAGCCATTTGCGCGAATCATCAGTGTGAACGGTCACACAAGTCTCCTGAAAACTGAAAGCACTATTGTCATATTATACAGACACTAGCTGGAAGTTCATACCATTATCAAAGAAATAGTTGAGAGTTCTGCTCATTTTGTTTGAAACATATGGTCTTCCTGATAATCGCATGGCTTGCACTTAATTTACCGACTTATGAACATTAAGTTATCTGAAGACATAGTACAGTTCATAATCTTCTATGGTGCTTTGTCAGCTGTACTGATTTGAAGTGTTTAATTTCGGATGGATCGATTTATGGCTTCTATTTTGACCTGATGATCACAACAAGCTTGTGAGCACAGTTGTTTCTAACCATCCATCCATAAGCACTAATATAGATAACTGATCCACTAGGTAATCAGAACATTGAGTTTATAGCATGACTGTCATGGCTGCATTCATGTTGAATCGACCATTTTCTGTTGTCTATACGACTTTCCATTGTTCTATTATTAATATTTTCCTTTTCCTTCCTTTATCAAACATGGCATATGTATTGTTAACATTATTGAAAATTGTGTATTATTGCATTTTTGAAGAAACCCGAAACGGTTTCTTCACAGCACTTATGTACCCATAAGGTGTTTGTGAATAATAATAATAATATTTTAAGTGGCTAACCAATGGATAACATCATGTATTCCAGCGTGACTTGTTGTGTCACTTAGGTGCACTAACCGATTCTTTAATTTTTTTCTCATGTCTGGGTAAATTAAAATTGGGGACCATCGTATAAGTGTGGATCTAGTGGACAGAAAGGATGCATCCATGCGCGCTTGAACTGTTGTCCTCCTGAGTGCTAGGTCATACACTTGACCGACAGAATACGCCATTCAATAGTAGGCCTGACTGCAGTATCTCGTTACGTTGAAAAATTACTAGCGATAATCATGACTTATGAAAATTACACCCGCGTAGTAAGCAAATCAACTTGGTTCCCAGACGACTTAAGGAAATATAGTCCTTCTATAACATTCATATAAACATCGAGCCCATCAAATAGTTAATCTGTAAGACTACGATTATGTCGCTGACCCTAAGAAGCTTATTCGATCCAAGGACTGTTATCATTTTTATTGGTTTCTTCTAGTCTTACGTTCCAATTTTCTTGGTCAGCGGACACTTTCTGTTTATCCGCGGAAAGAAATCTGGTTATAAAAAGTGATCACCACAGACTTAAGATAATATATCTGGTCGAGTTTGGGGATAAGCCCGAATTTTGCCAAGTTCATATACATTTTTCCTTGAAAAAAGTAAAGTTCTGTTTTGTTGCATCTTCGTGTCCAGGGTGTCTGTGCCGTGATTGTTTACTTTAAGATCACCACTCCGTTCCGGAAATTAAACATTTATATGTAGGTGAATATTTTCGCTCGTAATTGCACATTTACATTTGTATCCGACTATTTTATATAAGCGGTAGAGCAGCTCTTCAGATATGACTGATTTTAATCACTTTTTTCTCGAAGCAGGTTCTTTTTGGATTTTGATTTGAGGGTAACTCAAGAGGCAGATGAGTAAGCACCTGATAGGGGAATAGAGAATGAGAAATTCGTATCTGACCAACATGGTGTTGGGCAGCCCGCTCGAGGCACTTGCTTAGATATTCTTGTTCCATTTTCTTACCATCCATTCTCTTAAAAGTTTTGATCCTCATACATAGGACACGTCCAACAAATCATGAGTGATAAATTGACGAATGAATCAAATGCTATAATACAAGATAACAAGCTAGTAAAGTGTATGACTTCTATTTGGTACCTCCGGATACTGACTGGGCGTTGATCATCACTGACTGAGAGTCAAACATTAAACGAGTTAGTAATTCTCCCGTAAGCTGAAGAAACTGAACTGACATGTTCTCAGTGGGCAAGTTGGTCTGACTGACATTCCTATGGAAGTCGATCCTAGGAGGAAGCTAGTGCAACAACTTAAGTTGATTGGTTAAGAGATGGATGCAAACTTCTTTTTAATGTTACAAAATTGTGGCTGAAGTGTTCATTCCCTTCCTTATTTTGTATGGGCATTATATTACCTATTATTTTATACTGAATGTTGATAAACGTTGTGTGTTTGAAAAAAGTAACCTCGCGCTGTAGTTGTTCTGTCCCATGGTCTAAATAAAGACCTATTCACTACTAATCTGGTCTCTTCTAGAGATAGAATAAAGGGCACTCACCTGCGCGAAATATCTACGTTTACCTGCAGTCACAAGTATATATCCTATTCCGGATTACTTAGTGTCTATTGCAAACATCTAGAAGTGTTGGCTTACAGACAGCGAGGATAACAGTAGTGGTGAAAATGCAAACTAGCCCCAATCCTAAAGAGCTCATCACTCCTATTTTTACATATAGGAAGCTTATCACTAAAATTGTAACGGAAGAATTCAGCTAACATGGAATAGTGTCACACTGTGATGGACTGAAGAGCTGTCTGGTGAAGTAAAAAATGGTCCTTGTTTATTGCATACATACCAACAGGGAAAAATAAAATAAAACAGTTATCCTATTTATTACAGTAATTCTCTAAATGATGCCACTGTTAGGAAGGTTGATTACAAACCTTTGACAGCTCCTATAAAATCCCAATGATAAATCTCAAAGGAGAATAATCTTATTAGGACTTTTATTTTACATCTGTTTCAGAGAAGTAGGTAACTTATTAACTAGGTCTAGTTCCATAACGTTTACATCCTCTTTACGTATCAACCAAAAGATCTTGTCGTAACAAGTACATTTTAGTACATTTATTACAAACACATAAACAGGTACATGTGATGTTCATGTGCAATGATAATTTCTCTGTATATTATTCCCACTCTAATCAAAATTACAAATATATGGTACAACTGTGTGTCTCCAGTGATTTCTCTCCAGCTTGATTACTGAAAAACTTAAGATTACTAGGGAAGGAATTTGATATTATTTACAGTTACTAGTTTGAACATTATTTCAATTACTTCAACTTATCACGGCATAATATTATAATTAACAAGGATATAATCTAATTGAACATATACATGTTTCCAATATTACAGTGAGCAAAGTTTGGCTCCAGCTCATTTTAAAGAATCGAAATGTTATCCAGTCGGGCTCCACATGTTATAAATGAATCCTGTAAGCTTTCTTCAAAAGGTAGTGCATCACCTTCTTGAGGGGTTCGGGAAAGCTCTTAGTTGTTTTTATTAACAACACTAGTGTTTTCCACATTCTGAAGAAATCAAATCTCTGTTTCATTTCAAAACAGAAAGAGAATAGTTGATAACTCCTACCAACTAGCTGATTTTTTAGTTTGAGTATTGGATTTGTTTGTAGAAGCCACAACTGTAAATAACAAATATAGCGCACTTTATAAAAACTGATATTTTAGGATGTATTCAGTTTCAACCTAGTTACGGAATTACTCGTAAAGTTACTCAAATGAAACTGTCTCGATCTTGTATTGCTTCAGCTTATGATATTCGTCACCCTCCAGGGGTGAATTTTGGTTCAAGTACAGGTGAATACATTGGTTTAACAAAGCAATTGGTTAACCATGTTCCTCTTCATAAGTCACGAAATATAAATTCTGGAACTGGTCTCATTCAAATATACGACGAAGTGCCACAAAAACGAGATCTGAGTTATGGCAATCATATTCCGGATAAAGCAGCCTCAAACAAAAGTATTGTATATACAAATATTCCTCAGAATATTCATAGAAAATTTAAAGTAAGCGTTTTCCTATTGCAACGTTCATAAACGTTAATTTTTATCTTCGGATTTATTAAGAGTAACGACTGTTCTCGGGTATCATCTTGTTTGCTGAGTCTTGACTATAATACCAATCATCTTTCAATCATCTTTCTGTAGAAATGTATTCGTCAACGTTCTTGAAAGCCTTAAAGCTTTACATGATTTTTAGCGGAGCTATATACCATTTTAGATGAGCGAAAAACCGACTATTGTTTTAGATTGAGCTGTTTCAATAACTAGTATTGTAAATAATTATTTTCCTTGCAATACGAAACACACTGTCAGCGTCTCACTATTTTTATTGAAATCAACTTAATCAAAACCCGATTTCAAAACGTATGGCTTGTCAGTGGTTAGTAAATGACATTTTATTAAGACCTACCTGGTAGTCTCTCATTATATCTCTTATCTATTTTTAACGTTACAATCATAAATTTATGACTGTGCAGCCGATTTTATTTTCGCAGCCCGTTTTTCAGGGTTCTTAGTCATTTTGGTGAATGAGATTTCACTCCTTTTTCCTGGATTTATGAAATAAGGTAGCTTAAATCTTGTTCATATGCATACATTTTTGAATACTTGGAGTGATTTGCCTATCAAAGTAATGAGAGGCATGTTTTGAATCCTAATTAGATTAAATGTAATATGTGTCTCGAAAAAAAGTTTTAAATTTTCATCAAACTTTCAAAAATGTCGAATTATGGTGTGATAACACGAAATTTATTTGTTTACTTATGATATCATGGTAGAGAAATCAACCATCATGTTGACAAGTGCTCACGAAGGGACTTGATGCGTGTTTTTGGTCTATTTTGTTTGAGGTATTGTATTAAAGATTTCTCCTAAACAGAGCCTTTTTATTGTTAACTTAAGAGAACAACTGCTTATTTTTGGTCTTAACTATATTTTATTACTTGATATCTAGATAGTATGTCCACAAATCGACTTATTGTACTTGTTGCCTAGCTACCATCAGGTAGTTAGCTTGAACTTAATCTTCAGACAAATTTGTGTTTGTTGAAATGTAGAGATAAAATATATTCAAGTTCGAGGACGATAGTTTATTGAGTTAGTATGGGACGGTACAGAAAATGACATTTTGTTAAAAACGAATACTGTGATCTTTTTTAACAGGTTTCAAACTGTTACTGAAGTAAACAGAGGATAAGTTGTGTTATAATATACTACAGAGTACTAGAGAGTACTCAGGCCACGTTCGTACTGAATGCCCTAAATTTTAAGTGATAAGTAAAACCGTCTTTAGCAAGCAAGAGAATAAAATGAATTTGACTCAATGTGGTCAAAATTTAAAGTGTGTTTTTAAAATGCATATATCCTCACATTTATGTCGAAGGAAGTTTCCGACTTGCACCACTTGTGGCATAGGCAACGAGATATCTGTCTGCTAACCAAAGGATAAGTTTGATGTACAACAACTCCCTCTGTTCTACTTAACGGCTGCTAAACATGGCCACTAAAATTCAAGAACTCGATCATAGTTGTCTTTGAAGTTAACACTGCTGAATCTAGGGACGAGACAGGTTTCCAATGGTGGCCCACCATTTATCCATTCATCATCCCAATCAAAAACTCAACGCTATATTGATAAAAATCTGTTGCTACTAAGAATTTTAATCTAAGCACCCCCATGTAATTCAAGTAATAATCATTCAAGCAATGTTATTTAAATTAAGTTGGGCTAGAACGAGGATACCTCACGAGCGAAACTAGCGTTCTAAAGTGAGATTGATAGCTTCGCTCCATTTTCCACGACAGCCATAGAGTATGTTCAGTGGTTGAAGAGTAATCGAATCCTAGTTCGTAGTTTTGTCCATAAGTTTTTTTTGTGTTGAACTGGTTTTTACTAGTTTAATTTCTTCTGAGATTTGAGTACTGGAATGTTTTTAATGAAAATGTTATCCGTTCATCAATAGGGGTTTACAATCAAGAATATGCTATCTGAAAACGTAACTAACACGCACTGAAAAATTAGGATTTTTCCACTCAAGAGACATTGAAGTGTTTCTATTTCCTTATCAGATAAAAAATGTGTGCACAACACACTACTAAATATATGACTCTTCGCCCCAGGAAATAAAGTCACACATGCGACCAATGGCACACACCTGTTTTCCTAGAAAGTAAAACAAAGTCTTGGCCAACAGCGTCCGCCCATCAGCATCTCTCAACTTTTATTCGGTTTATGTCTGAATAACCAATCATACCAGAAGTAAAAACTCAGGCTAGTTGCAAACTCATTACCTTTGAACTCCTAATTTGAGACCGAGTGATTCATATTTTAAGAGTAAGTCCGTTAACGATATGCACCAATATCATCAGTGTCTGATTGAGTCACCAGATATAAATGATCCACATTAGTCACAAAGTTTACACCAGGACTTGAAGAATTTGTCTTGAAGGCAGTTTTTGTTGAGCGTATGACTGTTACGCATTAGGCTATGTACAAAATAGAGTAAACATATTTGTAATCCATATACAGTGTTACTGAACAGCTTAGAGGCTTATTCAAAAATCTTTGAAGACCTAATATATTTGTTGCTTTGCATATCAGTTTACTTCCTGTCTGATTTAACAGTATATTTCTATAATATGTACATCAAAGCCTCAACATTAAGATGATAAAGAAATATTGATTATCTTGCCTAAAGTAGCCGATTTCAAGATATCTTTGAATGAGTAATTACGTCGTCTCACTTATGGCAAAAATATTTTAAACTAAGAAGACTTAATTGCCAACTGAGTATGTTAAGTGTGTGCCTTATCGGACTTTGACTCAGTGGCCAACATAGCTGGATGTTTTAGGTTTGGCTACCGATGAAGTCTCAGATGTTCACTGTTGTGGAGTTATAAAACATTGAAATAGCTATAATGGTTCTTGCTTTTAGTTATTTCTTCAACTGATATCAGTTTGTGATAAAGGCCGATTTTATTCTTCAAGTCAATAATTTTAACAACTTTCATAAAGTTATGTATTCAAAGTTGTTCATGAAAAACTTAAGTCTTATCTTTATGCTTATTAAATAATATCATCCTACTGTTCAGTGTACAGTCTGTTAGTCTGGTTTATTTAAATTCTTCTTGAGAAAAAAGTATGGTCATTTTAGTGAAGTTTAATTCATCTAGGCTTAAATGAAATATGTAAAAAGTCTTTCCGCTAAACAGGAAGTTAGTTATGTATGCATAGAGTAAAATACAATTAAATGATATAACAAGTTAACAGAAGAGATCAAATTCCGACACTAGCCTAATAATGATAAAATATTGTCTGTTTGTTCTATGTTTACTTCTTTTTTTATATGACGTTTTACTAAAGTCAAGACACACTTGTATTTCGTACACTTATTTGAGCAAACGCAGTGGAAAATTATTAGGCCTGAATCCTGAAATAACTGAGACGTTTCGGTCAAGGATTTACACTATTTTAAGGAATTTACTGACTGTAAAAACGAAATGTTTGTTTGTCAAGTAATTAATAAGTTAAGCCTAATTTTATTTTACAAACGCGTTGTTAAATTTTATTGTTTTATTTACATTTAGATAATTCTTATTAAAGATAATTCCAAATTATATCTATTTGCAACTACTACATAAGATGCCAGTTTATGTCCATTGATACGTTTTAGGAATATCAGTAGGGACCACATTGTTGTCATTTCATATAACTTGATCAGTACTTATTGCAAAAATATGCAGTTGTAAGACTTCAGTCTTTATCATTAAATTATTTCTTAAGGAATGTCTAAGTAACATTTTAGAATTTATTGATATATATATATATACCTCTCTCAGGAAACTATAGCTTTATACGTGTTTGTAGATTCTGTTAAAAAGGTTCCATTTGCTTTTCTTTTCTCTCAAAAACACTCAGAATAACACAATTCCAATCCGAGTATTTATTTTTCAGTTGTGTTAATGTCATACACCATCTTTCCTCAGACTTATTTATCAGTTACTTTAACAAGGATAAAAAGTCTTTCCAGATATTACACACATGAAAAGAGGCATAAATGGAGTAAACCAAATGTTCCTGGTTATAACGTTTAGAATAAAAAAGTGAATAAAATGATACTAATAATTTTATGAATTCCTCAGAAATTTCATACATTTATTGTTGACCTTGATAATCATACATTTTTAGTCAGTTGTTTGACTGGAATACCAAAATACATTCATACATAAACCAAACAATAAACGACGATGTAAAATAATATTTGAAAGATAATCCTAATCGATTAAAATTGGATTTAAACTAGCAGATATTGACTCATTGATTGAATCATATTCAACACTGAACCTGAAAGTACTGAGTTGGTTACTATGTTGCTAATTTGAATTCATAGGCTAGAATGAAGCTGTTAACAAATGCACCTTGGTTTTTACTAATCATATATCTGACAACAATCTTTAATGTAAATGATTCCTCAGTCAAATAGATCCCTACAAAATATCCATTCAAACGATTTAGTTTAAACATAATCCTATAAAAACAATTTTCCGCGATATCATTTTTTAAAGCTTTATAATTGTACCTACGTTGTACAGCTTCAGTAAGTGATTAAATCTAAAACAATTGTCTGAATTGTTTTCAACATTCTTTAACAACACGGTGGACTTCATTTTTGTATAGTTTAACGTTAGTCAACCGGTTGATCTAAGAGTCAAAGTCTCATTGTTATATCTGAAGCTCCTGATTTCCGTTTCTGACAAGGTTGTAGATGCCCACTGCTGTAGAGCGTTGATTTCATACACACAGGTTACATGGGATCAATATTTGTACATTAGGCAACCGACCAAAAGTAATAAGTCATAAACATAAAAATCAATTTTTTCAGAAGTGAGAATTAAATTTATTTACCAATGTTGCATATGCAGACGACGTAAATTAGAAAAATTCGGGTATCCGTTTTTACTAATTCAGTGGTTATAATAATAGTAAGTGTTCTTTAAAAGCCAATGTATTCTCCAGTTGTTTTTGACATGATAAAAGCAACTGTGCTTACTTTTGAAGGCAAGTATACCTCAGTATCCTTTCAAATAATTTTCATTTTGCACAGAAAAAGTTTTTCTTTTATTTACCATTTAATTATATGTCATTTGGACAGTAATAAATTGAATTCAGATGAGGTTTATTATAGCATTTTAGGGTTTACAGTTTACGGTCATTATTATTTGTTTATATCAACACTTTCTGGACAGTGGGAACCATTATACAAAAGAAAAGGAAATTATAATAAGTTCAGACTATTTAAATGAATTTTAATTAACACTTCTTATCAATACATCTTGTTCATTGCATTCAGCTCTCTAAAATTAAACGCAGTGATATTATCTCTTCTTCTAGTTTCAATATTGCAAACTTGGTGGGTAGATTTCAACATGCTCTCAGGGTTACATTGAGTGAAGTGTTTCACCTGATAATCAATGATCATACTGCTCCACAGTCAAAATGTATTGGAATTTCTATGGAATGAACAGGTCATGGGATACATAATATATGGTAGTATCTAAGATATATACTGTTAAAAATTTTCAAGTAAGAATGAAGCATGTGTATAAAAATTGTTTAACTTTTAATAAATGGACAATTGACGTCATTTTGTAATGAAATAGTAAACGTTAGAAACAATAGTCATCATTACACACTCTAATGACCTAAAAAGCAAACCTTTCAAAAAACTCGTTTTTTCAAATATTCTTGTTTAATAGTTTGGGTGCTAAATTAGTAAGTAATAATTAAGTTTGAAGTGTATTTATCTCCTAGTATGATGATATTTACAATCAAATAGATTTCAGTTTGATAAGTCTTGCTAATTGAACGCTAAACTCGGTTCTTAAGTTATTCTCGTAACCCTCAAGCTAAATCTACTCAGCAACTTGAACAAGAGAGAAAAGGCACAAAATATGTGAGAACCGCTTTACTCTAAATGTTCATACATGTACAGAAAATATAGGGTTTTTATAGTATTTTAGAAGTCCTTGAATTTTCCTGAAAATTCTAGAATGCTACTAAACATATTAGCAGTATAGTAATCAACCAATCAAAAACTCTACATGTGACTTTTCACTTTCATGATGTTTCTGGAAAAATTTCTAGTCAAACGCTGATTGGATAAAATACTTCTTAATGTTTCCTAAGCTTGTCATGTCTATTGCAAGAAATTTTCTGGATCACCCCAACACACTTGATTACCGTAGTTAACCTTTTTGGATACGTTCTTAATGTTCACCTAGTAAAGTTCGTGAGTGGTTAGGAGTGGAATCCAGGGCTTGCGTTTCGTCTTGTTTAGGACTTGTTAGCTCCATATCCCTACATCCTAGTGTTAATTTGCTCACCGAGACTCAGATCTAATATCTTCTGTTTCAAACTTCCAGCTACTGATAGACTTCAGTTCTTAATAGCAGCAACCGTAAAAGGCAAACCCTTTCGCATTTTGAATGTTCACCATTTTGGTTTTGTCAAACCTTAGTAATATCCTTCATTTATATAAAAAATATTTCATTTTCGTTTATATCACATGAAATAAAACAAGCTAATATTGATCTAAATAAAATCAAAATAACTTTTAACAGACTTAATAATTATAGCAAATAGTTTAAATTCAAATCCAATTTATTTTTGTTACAAATAAAGGCGCCAAATAATTAAATGAAATTGAAACAGAATTTAAATGACATGACTATATAAAATAGACATGAATTAAAACAAAAATAAATTTCTACGTTGAAATATAAAACAAAAAAAGAAGAAACAAATACATTAAGACATTTGTATTAGGTTGTTTTTCTCTTTTTTTTTCAGAAAAGAAAAAAAAACGTTTGTTTAATTGTATAAAGTAAATCTATTTTTCCCTTTTTCTTTTTCGAAATAAATAGGATAAAATAAAATTGTCTACCTTATTTTAAGAAAAAGAAAAATTTGTTTAAGTTTTATGTTTAGTTAATTTTTTTTCTTTTTTGAGTAAAATAATAAAAAAAAACTTTCAGGTTATTAAATCCAACATTTTTTTGTTGGTGCTTAACATTAATTGATGTAAATGAATTGAAATATTTAAAGGACAGATATTTAAATATACAAAAAATAATTTTTTATGTTTTCCCATTTATAATTTCATTCAACTATACAGAACATTTAATTCATTTGTATATTGTATGTTTGAATCTTTTAATGGATGTTTTTAGAACTGAAATTGATTAATCTTTTATTGGCATATGTACATTCCGTGTGGATTGCCTCGATAAGTCACAAGCATTATAAACAAAGATGGATGATGGCTAACAGTAGAATCCAGGACTAGAGTTTCTTCTTATTTGAGACACATCAGCTGTGTTTGCCTGCATTTCATAGTTGATGTTCACTCCAGAACTTGAAACTACTAACGTTCAATTTGAACGCTATTGTGTTATCTACTTAGCTAAAATTAATTTTGGAATGCAGGTATATCCAATCGACATGTCCCAAATAAGACAAAACTCACATTCTGGAATTCACTGCTAGTTGCCATTCAACTTTGCTTATACAAAGAACATTTTGTTTCCTCTAATTTTCTGTTTTATTTGAGAGATTCGATAAATCACACTATGTTCCATTGAGAAATATGAAACTGTTTCAATAGTGGTTGACTCCGAAACATTATTCAATGTTTATTGTTTTCACTAACTAAACGAAATAATAAAAACAATATTATGAATAGGCTGTTTTATCATAACAGTTTAAAGATTAAGAAAATATTGGCATAAACATAAGTAAAGAAAAAAAATAATAATATTGATCAATAAAATTCATTACCACATACTTTACTCTTTAAGTGAAAATCAATTATTTTAATTAAAATGGATGCAGTATATGTGTTTCCTGTTTATAGTACTTTTCTAGTTGAAATATATGAACTATTGAGTAGATTATTATATATACATGATAACGTAAATTTAAAACAAAATAATGCTTACATTGCCTGTGAATTAAGGTTATATCGAGGCAATACGCACAGTATGCACATATACCAATTAGAGAATGACCAGTTGCAGTCCTAAACATCAATGGGAAGATTCAAACAAACAATACTAAGTGTGAATTTAAACTTCACCCCATTGCACAAGCAAGTGGCTATCACGACTCAGTGGCCGAGTGGATAACGCGATAGCGTTTGAAGCGAATGATACTGGGTTCGAGTCCCAGAGTGAACATCAACTCTGAGATGTAGGTATATCCATCTGACGAGTCCAAAATAGGACGAAACGCGTGCAATACGCACAGTATGCACATATGCCAATTGAAGACTGACCAGTTGCAGTCCTAAACCATCAATGAGAAGATTCAAACAAACAATCCTAAATGAATTTGGATAGTATTATTGTCATATTCACGTGTACTGAATAGTTACTGTCCTAATTCAAGCTTCGTGACAAATTAGTAATATGGAAATCACACACTGTTTTAGGAAATTTCCGGTTACAGTGGTATTTAATTTTAACCATATATTTATACTTCCGTCTTATGTAGTAAGGTTGTTTTCGGCATCAAAATAATTACATTTTGGCTTAAAAAACAGATTTGGCCAAGTAAACAGTGCAAGTTAACATTTCTTATAATAAAAAACTGATTTAACCATACAACTATGATGTCAACACAAGAAAAGACGTGTATTGTCATTGAATATTGGGATGGGTTAATGAATGACATAAAGGGTGATTGGTAGTTTAATTAACTGGAATAAAATTATCACACTATGCAGTTCATACACCACATTCCGAATGAATAGTACCGGTCATCTGATAATACGGTCACACTTATCCGACCACTAACATCTGTAAGTCAGTATACATGATACTACTCAGAGGTTTTAGTCTTTTTTAAAATCTTACCGACTAAGCAATCATTGATAGATGTTTGTGAGCACTCAAAGGTATTTTATACTAAAATGAGTAAGTGGTGAGAGATCCCTGGTTGCTTTGTGGTGACTATGATCAACAATGAATAAATATTTTTTTATCTAGTAAAAAACTCATAGTTTTACTTAATCATAATCATGTATCATCCTCTGTTGATTAGTTTGTACATATTTGACAGCCTAACTTCATCTATTATGCATATTCAGATAGTTGACCCGTGGTTGTTTTCTTTCTGATAACTACTCAATTAGGCATTCAGCAATTTGTTTTATTTCGAAAATGACAATTTCGCTCGATTAATCATTCCAGTATTCTATTATCGAGTTTAATTAACAATTCTGAATTTTTGTTTGACTAGTGTAAAGTTCTAACCAATGACAATTTTTATTCTCATTGTATATGGATTCATAATCTAGTTGCTGGAATATTCCATAATTTGTTTATCATCGTAAAGTTAACAAAACATTGATATACTATGAATGTTAGTACTACTTATACTGTAATGAAGAAAACACTAATTGAGGACAATCGAATGTATTTAGGCAAAAATTACAGACTATCTCACTAAATTCTGATAACCATACAGCAAACAGTTAAATTGAAAAATAACAATCAATTGTCTCAATCTCCACTGTTTCTTCTGTAAATATCAGTTCATCTTGTCTAATTCCATTGTTCATGCATTTTCCTACCAATTGCGCTTCATTTCTGTTCTTTCCTTATCGGTCTTCTGCCAAAATACATTCTGTCTGACCATCGCCATATACTACTTATATGGATATAAGTGGAAACCACACTACAATACTACTTTTACTTTTCTATTCCAAGTCATATGTTATGATAGTGAAGTTAAATAATTTGCGAAATTGGAAATACTGTTGTAAGTATTGTTGGTTTTTTTCGTACACATTTTATCATCATTCATAATCAACTCAATTCATTTAAAGTAATGAGTAAAGAGCAATGAATTTTTTAATATCTCAGCAAGATATCTGTTCAAAGGTTTCATGATTTCATTTCTTAAAACAATGATTATCTCTTTATCAGTACTTTGAAGTGAAATACATTTTTTAATTTCAAACTGTGAATTTATCTAACCCATTTAGATTGACTTTTGTCGAAAAAAATATATTAATCTACATAATCGTTGAAAGGAATCTGATAAAGAAATTAAGGGGAATTGAAAAGTTTCACGGTTATCCAGTCTTAAAATATAATGGTGTACATACTCACAGTCGATGGATTTCCAATGAGAAATTAAGTTTAAGAAGTACTGTACTCGATAAATTAGCTTTCATCAGTACATAAATACAGATATTGTGGAGTATGCTACTTATGTTTGTAGATATTGGTAGTATGTAACAACAGTCGAAAGTGGAATGTCTGTGAGCAGAAGGTTGAGAAGATTGAAATGAAAAGAAAACAGAAGGAAACTGAAAGCAATTAAGATAATAACAGGAATGGAGGAACAATGACGCATGTAAGAAACAACTGATGGCAGGTGTGCAAATGGTGTATTTAATATGTGATTTTCACATTTCTCCAAACTACTGTGCAATTGTTCACTGGTCTTCCCATCTTAGTGTTCGTTCACTACAATATGGCTAAATATGCGATTACGTTGATCACTCGCTTGTTAATTAA